TAATAATGATGTGAAGAATTTTGATTGAAAGTTATGTAATTAAATTTTCTTTTTGTTATTCATCATCAAGATAAAAATTGTTTTTTTTTTGTTGAGAGAAAAAATTAAAGAAAAATCAATAAATAATGAAAATTCTTATTCAATAAAAAAGTACTTTTTTCTTTTGATAAACACAAAGAAAAAATATAATTTTTTGAAGGAGAATTAATTGGTATTATGAATAATAAATGACTTGTTTTTTATTCAAAAAAAAAAAGATAAATAAGAAGAGAAGAAGATATTTTAAAAAAGAAGAAGTTTTTTTGATAATAAAAAATGAATGACCAAAAAGAATTTGAACTCAAAAATTAATTACTTGATAAATCTAATTTAACTGAAATGTTAAGACGGTTTAGTTTACGTTCAGGTCAAACATTAAAAGTTTCTACTAGTCTTAATCAGTCTTCATCATCTAGTTTAAGTAAATCACCAGCATTATATTTACAAACATTCCCATTATTAAAAAATGCTTTTGAAACCTTTGAGCAAACACCAACATTAGAGTCAATTGTTAGTATTTTTTCTATCTTGTCAAAAGCACCAAAACATATTTATGACTTTTTGATAACTGAACTTAATTGGGAAGAATTTATTGATCAATTATCTAAATGTATTTGTTCTTTATCAATTGACCAATTTATTTATTGGTTTTGTTCAGAAAATTATTCTTCAATTCATTTATTATACCTTATTACTTCTTATCGTCCTGAACTATTTTCAAGACAAAACGCAAATAAATTAAAATCTTACTTTATTTCTTCTCTTCCTGATATTTATGAAAATGCTGGGATTTCTAGTGAAGCTCGTTATCTCTTTCCAGAGAAGATTCAATATGTCCCTACAATTATCCAGAGATTAGATCGTTCTCCTGCTTCTTCTGTACTATTTCCTTTACTTCAAATTATTGCATTATTTGCAAAAACTAATTTAATTTCATTAGACACTCTTATTATTACAGACTTCCCTCCTCAACACATTGATTCATTTATTGATTACTATTTTGAGATATTACCTCTCTTTAAAGAAATTCCTAAACCAATTCAACGTCTTATCAATTCTTGGGTTACACAATTACCATCTCCAGTAATTACTCCCTGCCATTCATTAACAAATTCATCTGATTTCTCGTTATTTAAATTTGATGAAGATGAAACAACAACAACAAAAGGTTCACAACCTTCTCTTCCAAATTCATTATCATTGATTTCAATACATCAAATTATGAGATTTTTATTAATGATAAGTTATGTTTATCCTTCTCTCGTTTTTACTGATGGTCCATTTTTCCCTTGGAATGGTAAAACTGAAGTTGATTCAGAAGTGTTATTATATTACTATAATTATGTGTTATTTAGTAATACTACTTCGTTGGCTAAGAGATTAAATCAATATTGTGAGGTTATGACAAAATGTCCATATGAATTAGCTAATGCATTAGAATTTTGTCAAAATAAAATGATTGTTGCATTACATAAACAATTTCCAGACTTCAATTCATTTCAAATGTTTATAAATATAATCAATTCTTCATGTGATAAAATGCAATTAAATTTATTATCAATAATATTATGTTGTCCTCAACATTTAAATTATCAAGAAGTTCAAATATTATGCAAATTATTTCACAATGACAAATATTCATTAATGCTTTATGACATATTCACAAAACGATTATCTATGTTACAAACTAATGACCTTTCTCAAATATTTATTGAAAATGGATTATCATTTGCTTTAAGAATGAAAATTGATATGATTCATCCACTTGAATATTTAACATTTATGTTACAACTATTTGTTACACACCCATTAACTGAAGATTTTCTAGTTAGTGAACCTCGTTCATTCTTCTCAAAAATTATTCCATTATCAACACGTTCTAAAGAAATTTATGATTTAATTATTTCATTTTTAACAACTGGAATATTATCAACAGAGTCAATAGAAAAATTTACTTCATTATTACCTCATTTAAATCCTCCTAAAGGAATGTCAGCTACAAATCATCGTTTAAATATATTAAAATTATATTCATTAAGGAATAATGAATTAACTGGAAATGAATTACAATATTATTATAATTATATTAAATCAAGTATTGAATTACCAACAGAAACAAATGAATCATTAGCAATTTTAAAAGAATTTTATGCAGTCATTCTAACTGGGTTTGAGGCATTTAAAAATAAAGAAGAATACAAACATGATCTTCAAACATTTTTATTAAGTGAGACTATTATTCAAAAATTACTTGAAGTCATTAAAGTTATTGGAAATACAGTATTTAGTCACTTGAGAAATTTGTCATTAGATCAATTATGTGTTATTGATGAACCATTATTCTTAGAGGTATTTGTTAAATTATTAAAACAAATCGAAGAAATAGAAGAGCCATTTAATGAACTAATTCCATTATTAGATAATCCAACAAATGTAGATACATTATCTCATAGTAAATTAATTGAACCTTTACTAGTATTAGCATCAACTGGTAAAACAGTCAATTCAGTTTATTATTTCTTAAAGAGAATTATTAGTTATAATTGTTTACCATCATTTTTAACAACATTATTACATACCTCTCATGAAAATGGACTAAGAGAAGAATATATTTCATTATTAACAGAATGTACTCAAATTTCACAACAACCTAGATATACTGCAGAATTTTCTAAACAAGGAACTTCATCATTATCAGCTCAATTAAAATTTGATCAAACACAAGTTTTATCTATTTCATTATGGGCAGCAGTTATGAATTTTCCTGATTATTCTCGTGATTCATTTATTACAATCACATCTTTTATTCTTAAAGATATTAAACTAAATCTTGGAGTTTCTTCTACTGCTATTACAATGCAAATCATCACAGAATCACATAATGGTTCTATTATTATTGATCATTCTTTTAGACCAAGAGAGTTTTTTAATATTACTGTATTACTTCGTTTATCTAAAGCATTAGATATCCAAATTGCTATTGATGGGGCATTTATTTCTTCAGCAGAACGTATTCAAATTAATGTACCACAATCATTGTTTCCATTAGACCTTATAATAAAACCAATTGATAATGCTCGTTTTAGAATTGGAAATTTTCATTTCTTTAAAACAATTTTAAGTGAAGAAATGATTAAATTTATATTTACTGCAAGAGCAGATATTCTTCCAGTTAATTGGATTTTAGAATTACCTCTTAATATGAAAAATTTAGAAATACCAACTGAATATTTAGGAAGTCTTATTGTTCCAAGTGGTAAATTATATGTTCATAGTAATAAAAGTACATATTCTGTTCAAACAACTAATTTAAGAAGGTTTGAATGTATTGGTATGAAAGAGGCATTTAATGCTATTGGTGGAATAGAAGTCTTATTATTATTTTTAAGTGAAGTAAAAAGAGTAGAAGAAGCTATTGGTATTATTGAAGTTATAAGAAAATATCTTACTAATAATAAAGTTGCTGCATTAACATATCGTTCTATACACGCAGGAAGAATTTTATTAGAAATTTTAAGTTATACAAACTATTATTCAAGTGTTCTTAATGAATCAATTAAATTAACTGACTCTAAAATGGTTGTAAGGGAATTAGAGTTATTATGTTGTTCAACTATTCAGATAGAAACTGCGGAATTATTTAGAGATATATTTTTTCATACTGCTTTTTGGATGAGAACTTCTGGAGAAGTTTTTTATGAATATATTCAAACAATAATGAAATACATAAATTGTCCATTTAAAGACACTAACCTTCAAATACTCATAGAATCACATTGTATAGATGAGTTTATATCTTATGTCCCAGTAGTTGTTGGACTTAAAATGAGAGATTTACAAACTCTTTATATATCAATTATATATCAATTACTTAATTCTTTATCATGGAAATATATTACTCAATTATTAAACAATGTAATTGCCCAATATTGTATTAATATTATTCCATCTCCTGTTCTTCCTTTATATGGTGATCAAGAAATTATTAATTCTTCACATATTTCTAATTTAAGGTCTAATTCAGACACATATATTTCTCATTCAAGAACACTTAATGCACAATATTTTTGTTTGGAAGTAATTGAAACTATTGTGCGTGCATCATATGATCGATTCTCAAGTGAAGACTTATTCATTTATTTGAAAGAAGTGTACCAAACAGTTCCACTTGAGACTCTTATTACACTTCTTTCAATTGCAAAATCAGAAAATTTGTTTTTATCTCTTATTAAATTATTAGAAGGATATCTTGCTAATTCATTAGTTGAAGTATCTACTTTACAAACTAATTTTCTTTCTATATTTGAATCTATAAGATGTAAAGATGTATTTACTCATTTAACTTCCAAATCACTTAAAACACTTTGGAATTTTGCACAACCAATAAATTGTATTAAATACGTTCTAATGATTGGTTCTATTAAAACTATTTCTATTGAATTAATTAAAACATTTATTGAACTTATTGTTGAGAAAGGAGTACTTTTAAATCAAGAAAATTCAGACCTAATATGGAGATTACTTCTCAACATTACTGAGAATGAAGAATTAGATCAAAAAATATTATTTTCATTAGTCCCAATGATTGTTGATATGGTTTGTAAAATTAAGATGGATGGTGATGGGTATTGTAATGAATTATCTAAGTTGTGTATTCATAATCCAATTACTCCTATACGATGGGCATTATATCAAGGAATTTCATTAAAATATAATCATAGTTTATTCCCTTCTGTTGCTGTAATCAAAATATTCCAATTTTTAAAAGAATTTAATTGTTCTTTCTTTGATCCATTACCTTCAATTCTTATAGAACAATTACAAAATAAAATATTATTAACAGAAACAATAAAAACAATATCTCTATTTAAAATTATCGGAACACCATTAGCATTATATCATTGTTTCCTTCAACTTGGGACTTTTTCACAAATTTATTTTGACTGTATTACAGATATATTGGACATTCTTAATAAAACATTATCATCTTTATCTCAATACCCAGACCATCCATTGTATTCTTGTTTATTCCAACTTGTTAAAAATTATAAAAGTTCTTTTACTAAAGATAATTATAATAAATTACAACAATCAAAAGGAACTATTGATTCTGCAATAGAATGGTTATTTAATTCTTGTGATATTCCTAAACCAGAAAATACTCTTCTTCCTTTAAAAACATCTCCCTTAATTCGTAAGAAAGAACCTTCTAAAGTTATTGAACTTTGTGATTCTACAGATGTTATTGCTGCTATTTCATGGAGACGTATCGTAAAAAAATATACTACTCATAATGCCATTTTTGAATATCCTTTCCATGCTCCTTATGTGTTTTTTAAGTTAGATGCAACTTTATGTAATGGAAATTCACAAATGATTATTTCTCAAACTATACCTAAAGTGTCTACTCTTCCTGTTGAAACTGAACCACAAACTGCATTATATAAAAGATATGAAAGTCTAATGGAACGAGTAAAGTTTCGTATGTTTGATGAAATTTCTGTTGATTTTGAAGCAAATTATGTTAAATGGGATAGAGAATTACCAGCAATAATTCATTTTGAGAATAATGCTGTTATCATCAGATATCATAATGGAGGAGAGAAAAATATGTTATCAAGAGAATGTAAACAAATTAATATTTCATTTGAAGACATCACTAGTGTTCAAAGACTTAATGTGTTGTATGAAGACATTGGAGTTGAAATTTATTACTTTAATTCCTTACTCTCTATTGTTTTACTCTTTAAAACAACAACTGAAAGAAATAATTTTATTTCTAAACTTCCAATTACTCCAAATGAATTACAAAGATTTAATGAGGCACAACGTAAATGGGTTAAAGGAGAATTGTCAAATTATGAATTTTTATATGAAGTGAATAGATATGCAAACCGAAGTTTTAAATTATTAAGTCAGTACCCAATTTATCCATGGGTTATTTCTACTTTTAGTGAAGATTTTAGATTAAATGATTTAAGGTCTTATCGAGATTTGACATTACCTATATCTGCTTGTAATGAAAAAGCAAAAAAAATGATTGAATCTAATTATCAAGAGAAAGAATGTCATTTTAATTGTTATTTAAGTAGTCCTAGTTTAGTTTGCAGAAGTTTAGTAAGACTTCAACCTTATTCAGAGTTATTATGGAAAGAAATGTCAGAACGATGTTTTGAAGTTGGAGGAAGAATTTTTAAAAGTATTGAAGGGTTTTTTAAAAGTAGTGTAGAACAATCAAGAAGTGAATTAATTCCACAATACTACACTACGCCGGCATTCTTAACTAATTTAAATAATTATTTAACTTCTCTAAATGGAGAGTCACTTGGAGACGTTACTTTACCTAATTGGGCATTTAAACACAATCTTCTAGATAGTGGGAGTCTTAAAGATAGAGGGGAAATGACTTCTCCAAGAGAGTTTATAAGAAAAATGAAAATGGCATTAGAAAGTAGTAATGTTAGTAAATATTTAAATACTTGGATCGATCTTATATTTGGTTGTTTACAACAAAGTGTAAATCATTATAATGTTTATTTAAATGATTATACTATTAATTCAACTCAGCCAGACTCATTAAAACAAACTATATGGAAAACTATGGGTCATTTACCTCTATGTATTATGACAAAAGAATGTCCTGAAAGAACGGATAATGGAACGAGATTTTCATGTAATTTAGGATTGAATTGTGCTGCTCGTCGACCAAAAAAAGTTGGCTCAGTTAAAGAAGATTGGTGTTCATTAGTTGATAGTAAAAATGGATATACTCCTATTACAATTAAAGGAACTATTGGAATTGGTGAAAATGCAGTATATTATGATGAGGTATTACATCAAATTATATTACTAAAGCCAAGTGAAAGTTTTGTTGCAGCAGCTATTGGAATACAATGTGTTAATGGAGATGATGATTGGATTGTTGCTGGTGGAGACAATGTATTAGCTTTCCATCATAATCATAGTTATAGTTTTAATGGAATATCTAATATATCATCATTGTCAATTAAAATTAAATATGATTCTATTATTGCAGGTAATGAAAATGGTATGGTTATTGTTTGGTCAATTACTAAACAAAGAATCAGATGGAAAAAACAATTTGAATTACCTGTCCAACACGTATTAATTACAAATAATGGTGATATTTTCATATTAACATATGACCATTTTGAAAACACAACAACAATTATTGGTTGTGACATTAATGGTATAGTTTTTGGTGAATCTTCATTTAATGCTCGAGTGACTGCAATAACATGTTCTCAATCTGTTAATTCAACCTCTCCTACACTAGCTGTTGGAACAAGTGTTGGAGAAGTATTATTATATGATGCATTTACTCTTGCTTTATTATTCTCTTATTCTGCAGATAGAAAAACAAAGAGTGTTACTTCATTCTTGTATACCAACAAAGATTGTAAATTATATTATAGTACTCAAAGAGAAGAAGGTGGATGTTTCATTTATTCTTTATGAAAGAATTTAAATTAAAAGAAACTGTTTTTTTTAAAATTAGAAATTATTTTTATTTAGAAATTTTTGTTAAAAGAATAAAAATTAATTACATCATTTGAATAACTATTACTCTATTGACTGAGAAATCTTCAAAACTTTCTGTATTACTCAAACTTGATGGTGCACCTAAATAAGCTATTTGGAGGTTCTTACAGTATGAATTTGATACACCAGTTTGATGAATTATAAAACAACCTGTATGACCAACTTGATATAAATAACTTTCATTTCTATATATAAAAAGAGCATTAGAACTATTATCTCCAATTGGATTCCATTTCATTGGTTTAAATATTGATTTCTTTAATGAGAAAATAAAATGATTAGGATCAGAAATAAATTTGTTAGTTTCAAGAATAGGAACAGACACAAATGCTCCAAACACATAACCAAATTCATCAAAATTAATAAAATATAAATTGCGTTTATTCATAACTCTATCATTAAACTGGTTTTGTGAATCAAGAAAAGAATCAAATAGAATTTGATACTCATTCAAATTAGACCAATTCTGTAAATAAATATAATATTCTTCAATAATTCTGAATTCTTTATCTATTTTAAGTGTAAATGGAATAATATCAATTCTATTAGGAATTATAAACTTCATATTGGTAAGTTCAGTTCTTCTTAATTGAAATTCTTCTTTTCTTTTATTAATCATTTCTTGAAACTTTGATTCAATTTCTTTAATCTCTTTTTTATATTTCATCTCTTCTATAAAAAGTAATTTTCTGATAATGTCATTAGTTATTTCTTTCATTGTTATTTCTTCGTCTTCTTGTTGTTGATTTATTTGACTTATTTTATTAAAATCTTCTTTTAATTTTTGAAGAACTTCACTTCTTTTATTTATTTTTCCTTCTATTAATTGTATCTTCCATTTTAATTTATTGATAATTTTTTCTATCTTATCAGTTAACTCATATTCATGATTGTTTAATTTTTGTTGCTCTAATTGTTCAATAACTCTACATTCTTGTTCAGTTTGTTTTAATAATTGTTCTGCTTCTTCTTTTCTTTGAAGAATTTCATCCCACCATCTATTTTCCATACCATTTGATTGTGACATTGAGATGATCCTCATGACAAGACAAATAAATACAACAATTATTTTATTTTGATAACTTCTTCATGACTTTACTCAAAAAAGTATCATTTTTATAGTCAGAGAAAGTGAATTATTTCCTGCTTTAAATCAATAAAAGTCTCAAACACAAAACTATTTTTTGATACAAAAACGATAACATCAATCTGAAAAAAAAAACAAAAAATCTACCTTCATCTGAGTTTATTCGCTTAACCCATCCATAGATAACATCTTTATATTATGTTCACTACCCAATTGGACAAATTAAAGACTACTCATAAAAAATGTTAAATAAGTATGTCCTAATTCAATAAATACTTTCTTTTATTAAAAATTAAAGACTTTACGATCTAATAACTTCTCGTTTGGAAAAATATGTATTAACTAAATAACGAAGTTGTGTTGGTTTAGTCTAAATTTCATAGAGTAAATAATTCTAGGCTAAACATAAAAATGATAAAAAAATAATTATCATGACGAACATAATTCAAATAAGAAAGAAATTAAAAACTAGATAATGAACTGTTAATAAAATTGTCATTTATTCATTACTAATGGATATTAATCACATTATACATCATTAAAAAGGAAGATTTTATTTATTATTTAGATTTTCTTCTTGTTTTGTAAATAAAACATTTTCTTTTGTTTTATTGTCTTTTCAAGTTTCTTTATGTTTATTTCATCTTTTTATCTTCTTCTTTGACTTTCACTTTTAAATTTAATAAATATTATTTCTTTATTTCTTATTCTTATTTTATATTGAATTATCATTTATTTATTATTTTATGTTGAAGTATATCATTATTATTATATTATTATTTCTAATTTCATTTATTAACATTATTTATATCATTTTCATTTGTCATT